ATACCATTCTGAAACAATCCTTAAACAACTTCCAATTATATACATAAAATACTAATGAAGTCCAATTTCCTCCGGGATGCAAGGCCACATTCAGATTGAGAACTGCCACATTAAACACTGCCAAAAATGAATACAGAGCAACTTTTAACCAAGGATAAAGGGGCATGCCACTGCTGTAATAAAATTAAAAAAAAAAAAAAAAAAGCCATAGAAGCTTTAGCAGTATATTTCCATTTAGGCTCCAGATCAGCCTCTCCATCTGCAAAGTCAATTTATGCCCACAGAATTCGTGCCAGTATTTTTCCAGCAACACTGTAAGCCATGAGTGCACAACTACATGGCTCATACTCCATTCAATTTACATTCAGCCTAATAAACAGAAGGAATCAAAACATGCAAGCTGTGTCAGTTGATGAACCTGCAAAATAAGGACAATTAACTCTACATATATAAAGCAGGCAGGAATTTGGTTTTACATAGTCATCTAAGACACCTGCAGGTGGCAAAATGTTCCAGTCATGGAGGTGTCTAGTCTGTAGCACTGGAATCACACAGTTTGGTCTTGGGTAAACCATACAACCTTCACAATTTAGCTTCTCTTTTCAAAGGATCTGAATTAATAATACATATTTACCTTATTTCAAGGATAGTGTGAGAATTAACTGATGCTAATGTGCCTCCCAAACATACAAAGCACTGTACGGAGCAAACAATTTAACAAGTTTTGCAGAACAAAGATTTGCAATAACCTTGCTGAATTTAGAACATACCATTTCACATAAGAGATTTTTTTTTTTTTAAATGTGATGCCTATATCAAGCTAGAAGTTGTTACTCTTTCAGCTGAAGAATGTATTGTATAAGGTTTAATCATCTGCCAGAAACTCCCACAACATCTTCTCATACATCATGCTTAAACTGCTAGGAAGCACACTGAGGACAGCACATAACCCATGAAGTAGAATACTGAGGGGGAAAGTCAATTATTTTCTTGAATGAAGTTGATAATACTCAGATACTATGATATTTTCTGTATTTACTTTGCTTGCTTCTTTGGTTTTTACTGTATTTACTTTGGTTCCTGTTCGATTAGAAAAAAACCCAGTATTTTGTTAAGGAGTATTAGATGATTAGAGAACCCTTCTAACCAGTTAAGTAGTCATTTAAGAGAATATTTTACTTAATTAGAATTAATCAGTAGAAGTCCTTAAAGCATTCCTACATACCTGTGAAAGGAAATGATCTTACCCTTTCACTTCATCAGCAACTCTTCTGAAATCATATCATGTATCATATCCTATTCTTATGTCCACACACCCAGATCTAGCATGTGACCTTTTTCTTTCGGCTCACTGATACAGGGAGTCTTCTAATTGCAACATGAGTCCACAAGGCCTGAATCTCTAAGAGCAGAGAGGTGCCTTTGCAGAATTGTGGACTGCCCTTGAATCCCACAGCTCACATTGGGGGAGGTCAGCATATCGCTGCAGACATGGCTTCTCCACTCAAAATACCATAACATTTTCTTTCTGTAATTTAAATTTTTCTCATTTCAGCCTAACCCATGGTACTCAGCTAGGATTTTTAGTTTCTTTTAAAAAGCATTGCTGAACCTCACATAAATTATCAAGGAGTATGCACTAGTCCATAGATGGTACTGCAATTCTGCATACAGGGCAAGGGTAAGGGAAGAAAGTATCTCTGCCTTCAGCCTTGCTGGGCAAGACTGCTAAGTCAGAACAGGTTATCATGAGAGACTGTCTGAAAGAGTATTTTAGGTCAACAGTGCCTTGTCTCCCTGCAGGAGGGCTGCTGCTGCTACAACACATTCCCTGCTCAACTCTTCCATTAAACTGCAGAAGTTTGACATAATTTCCGTGCTGTTCCCCTCTCTCATGCAACTTGGGAAAATAGGTAAGCAACTGCATTCAAGAGTGACTGCAACCAGAGAAACATCCTCCTGTCCCTTTCCAATGCAAACGTTTGCTGGTCACGTCTTTTCCGTGGAGTCTCTGAAGCAGAATTTTCCTTTTTCATCCCTCTGCCAAGTACTTATCACCACCTCCTCCATCAGCATTGCTCAAGTAAAAGGCTGCTTCCAAGCCTGCTGCCAAAAACTTCAGCTATGCCCGTGACTTTGTCGCTGCTCTGTTTCCCTGTGATCCCCCCGAAAAAAAAGCATCTGCAGGATGCTACCTCCCATCTTCTCACATTTCCGCAAAAGCATGGCCACATCACAGGTACTCTGAAATGGCAACAGTATCCCTTACTTATTTCAGGGTCAATGGCTGCCTTCTTAGATTATAAAACACCTTAGGACTTAATTCAGCAACTCAACAACTTAGATCTCTTTTCTGACCTCCATTGCCATTCCATACACTCTTGTCACAGCTGCTCTCAAGACTTCCTTACCTTCTTCTACTTCCTCTTCTCTGAAATAGCTTCACCTCCAGGATTCTCCTTCTGAGGTCAAATCTCAGCTGAGAGGTTTTGTATTAACCTTCTCTCTTCATTCCTTTTCTCTTCTCTGTTTATCATCCTTAAGATTTATAAAAAGTTCCCTGAAAAACATTCTGTAAAGAAGCTTAGATTAAAAATGTTATACATATAAAACTTCTTTTAATTTTTCTTTATTACTATTTTGTGGGGAAAAAAACCCAACCCACATATAGTTTGCTTACTTTTAATGTGAAATATCTTCACCAACTTAAATCTTTATTCACCATGAAAGTAATATTTTAACCACACTACCAAACCCTGTAGTATTTAACAAACACAGAGCAGTAATGAATATAAAGAAAGCCATAGCAGCAGTTTGTTAAACATGCGAGACAGTTGACTCAGATGTCTGAAGCAATAGCTCTCTGAAAAATCACGCATGTCATCACTTCTCGTACTTAAACTGTACTTTCTTTTGCATTTGAAAAAAAAAATTAAGCAGTTGTCATGAAATTTATCAGATCCTTTTGGCAAAATATTATCCTCAAGACACCAATGAGCTCTAAGTCTTAGAAGGGAAAAACCATAAACCTTAGACTAACAAGCTAACATTAGAGATTTGTCTGTCAAATGCTTTCTATGCTCTGTTACCTGAGAAAAATGTGAAAATAACTGTGCCCTCTCAGTTCTCTGCAATTTACCGTGCAGTTACTGCTGTGCTACATTTCTTCTACCATCCCATTCTGAAAACATAAATCAGTGCAGAGCAAAAGGTGTCAAAAAGTTTCCTGCTCCTGCAATATACTACAGCAGGGCAGTGTGCTGCCAGGAGGATCACGCTGATTGGCTTCATGTTACAGTGAGGTAACATGAACCGTTTGAATAATCTCCAGGTAATCTGCATTAAAACCATTTTACTGCAGTGTACTGCGGTATTAGGAAAGATTTCAATATTGCACCACGTGATGCAACACAACCTTATCGCGTTTGTCAGTTCCTAGGCAGTGAGGGAAAGCTTTAAATCAAAGGCTGAACGTAGCAACTTTCCATTTTACAAAGTAATACGACAGACTATTTTGGTTCACGATGTTGGCGTATTGTATGAAATGATACAAAATTCCCAGAATAAAATATCACAGACCTAAAAGCCAACATATTTTTTCTTTCTTTCTTTACTTAGCTCCCCAACCTGGTATCAAGAGAATCTTTCAATGAAAATGGATTTCCCTAATATTATTGGTACAGTAAGGTGTCACAATGTTATTAGCTCAGTGATAAATGAATTTTAGTATTCTAGAGATCATTTTTCCTGTTCTTAAGCTACCACAGATGTTACCCTCTTTGTCCTTCCAGCTTGTATATTTTGTAGTTTAATTTAACTTCACACATATGCTTTTCTACATAGTTTTATGGCAGTCATATAAAGCAGTAACATTTCAATGTTATTCCACTGTTCACACAGAGATTTTCGTTATTTCTGTAGTTTCGGAAACATTCCTCAGCTTTATGTGCTCACATCAAGGATACACGAAAAGAGCATGAACTTTGTCTCGAATTAACCTAACTTTTTCCCTAGTAACACAAGCAAACACAATCTTGCAAAATAGTACCTGGATATTTTTTCAGCGCGATTTTTTTTGTGTGTGTGTTTAGTAGTATGAGGGAGTTTAGAACTACATTTTCAAAGACCTCTGAAACAGACTTTGAAAGTATGGGGTGTCATCAAAGCAACAGCCACAGAGGTAGCAATAGTGACAGAGATGAACTCTTGTTATTATCTGCATTAGCAACGTGCACACGCTGGGATTTTTACGCTCTATGCGATGCATCAGCTCCGGCAAGGCGGTAAACGAGAGGCACAGGAGATGCCATCTGCTGCAGCGCGTTGCAGTTTACTGCAGGACGAGGGTATATACACGGTGCCGCTCTGCAACAGCTTTTCGCTGCAGCAAACCCCTGCACCAGCCAACTTCTCCGCGGCTTTCGTGTGGGAAGCGTCTCGGCGAGCGTGCAAATCGCACGCCGCCCGGTATAGAAGCTTTACCGCATAACCCAGATGAAAGCGGGCGCTGGCTCTTTCGGCCAGCGGCCGCCTAAATCCCAGCACCAGAAACACGGGTCAGCACGACACGAGGACCCTAATCACCTCGCCAGGACGCATCTTATTAACGTTTCCCAACCCCTTCCCCCCCCGCGACGGCTTTGCCACGAAACCGGCCGCCATCGGTGCCCCGCGTCCCAGCTCCACCTGCCCGGGAGACCGCCCCAGACCCCCCCCCCCCGTTCCCCCACCAAGGCACACAGACCTGCACGGGCCCCCACCGGTCGCTGCCCT